GATTATCCCCTTTGCATGTGATGTATATAAATTACAATTCTGCAAGTAACCGGATTGATATATTTAACTGCAGAATTGCAGATATAAAAAATACCATTAAGTAACCATCATTTATCTTTTATATTTTGTAGTCTATTACTTATTATTGTCTTTTATATCTATTTTATGTTGTGTTTCCTCACTCTGTAATTGGTATTCACTGTAGGGTGTTGTAATGGATAAAATAAAAATAAATAAACAAAATAAAAAAATTCTAACGTCAAACTTCACTAACTTGAGCTTTCTATACGAATTTCACTTTAAACAACCAATTTATTAAATGCAGTAGATGCTTAAAAAAAGTTGGTGGATTTACGTTTGTACTATAGGAGTCAAAATGTCACACTTTCTACGCCACTGGTGTAGCTTGAACATCGCTAACCCCACCAGAGATATACTTTTTTCATCTGTTTTGAAATTTATTATTAACTTCAACACTTTGTACTTGGTAATGGAATGCATTTACAAGAAATCATCCCTTGAAACTTGGCCAAATACTTTATTAATACATCTAATTTCTTAAATAATGATCCTAGTAGGTAAACATTGTTCGTTCTAAACCATTTTCTATTTGTTTGTAAGGTTGACAATCGGTACGGGGTACTCAAAAATACAAAATTTAGCTTTTCTCAAAACACCCTTATTGTTTCACATTTTCAGGTTGGGAGAGCTAATCACTTTAATTTATGTTAAATAAATGCAGTGCGAACAATAGATTCCCAAATAAGAAATTTAACGTCGGATAAAAATCAGAATTATTGTTGATTATGTTGAAATTTCGTCAGATAAACATAATATGTATCCAATAAAAAGATTTGCTACTTCTAGCCCGAAAGCACCTTTCCTAAGAACTTTTGGATTCAAAATCAATGTAGATAGAGTCGAATCTTAGTTTAGTTCAGTTAGATTAAGGTTTCGGTTAGCCGTTTTCAGTATCCATCAAAAGATTTGTTTTTTGTCTCCAAAATTTTGAATTTTTATGTTGTTATACAACTTCTTATAGAATTATGTTAACAAATCTGAAATTGGTAGCTCAACGAAACAAAAAGTGCAATGAAACAAGTCAAAATTGCCTCACAATTGTCCAGTAAAGAGCTCAATGTTGAGGTGCCCTTTCACAACGCTGCTGGCTATTATACAGGTTGTCGCAAAATTGAAGGATAATCCTTCAACTGTATATAGGTCACGCCATGGCCTACTAGATGGTACAATTTTGTGTTAATAAAAGTCATAGTTTTCGAAATTTTCAGCATTCAATTTTGTTTTTTCTGAAAGACTAGCTTATATTGAGTTAATCCTATGCCATTGCTACCAATTTCAACTTTTTTGGACCAGGTTTGCTTTAAAACTGTCAGAATTAAACATCATATTTCGACCAGTATTATTTTTCCTTAAGGTGGTGAAAAACCCACATAAAAGTCATACCAAAGACTAAATTTTCATTAAAACCCTTTCTTACGCCTGACTTTGATATTCTATAGAGTGAGAGTATCAAGTACGATCACTGTGCCAATTAGTCAAAAAAGTTGGCGATCTTTTGAACGGTATCATTGTTATTCACCCTTTGTGTTTTTTTTCGTTTTATTGCAGTTATAATGGAGGAGGGTCAGGTTTCGTAGAAATCAGAAAATAACAGTTTATGGCTTGGATACAAGACATGGACAGGATTGATGTTGAAGGATAATTCACATTTAAGATATTAATGTAATGAGTAGCTTTTGTAGCGATGCATTGGCATTCCCCGTAAATGAAATGGTACTGCGTACTCGTAGAACAAAATTTTACCTATAGATATAGTAGACCATGACGTGACCTATCTACATTTGCAGGACCATCATTCAGTTTCGGGACGCCCTGTATATAACACTTGTCGATAAAAAGGTTTGCTCTTATTCCCATTAAACTGCTTTTTGTAATCGCAGAAACCACCATTGTCGGTAACTGTCTGGAACACTAGGATTGTGTGGAACCTACACGCATTTATATGTTTTCGCAGAAAAGTACGGATTTAATGTGAAATGTCAACATCTGTCAAGTTGGCGGCCTAAGTCTGATCGACTTGTAGTACGAACTTACATCCTGACTATTAACGACAAACAAATCGTGTACTTGCTCATTCGACCTAGCCCGAATTCGTTGGTACCAATTGAATCTTTTGCTCGCACTGTTAATATACGAGCCCCTTCCCACTTCAGTTGGCCCACTTCAAGATTTGTACCAAAATATGCCTTTATAAACTAAACATGACGAAACTATTTACTTCTAAAACAATTTATTTTCTCAAAAACATTTTAGATACACTCTAGTCGTAAAAAATATATATTTGGAATCACTTAGACCTATAACTAATAGAAAAATGTTAACCAAACCAAGTTTTGTCAAAAATTTGGTGTAAAACAATCCCATATTTCTTGAAGCGTTTGTCTCAGTTCGGTGATTGTACGAGCAGGATGTTTTCGTAGAACCTTTTTCATCTCGTGCCACAAAGTTTCAATAGGTGACAGATCTGGACTGCTAGAAACCCATTTCAAAAGTGGTACATTATTTTCTTCCATCCATTTTATAGCCTTTTTTGAGATATGGCACGCTGCACCATCTTGCTGAAACACAAAATCTTGGCCGGATGTCAAACATTCTTCCATCACTGGTAAAAGCGATTCTTCTAAAATTGCCAAATATTTGTTTGTATCCACATTTCCATCAATAAAATGAAGTTTTCCTACTACTTTTGATGACATACTGCCCCAGACCATCAACATGGAATGCTTCATTTTTTTTGCGAATAACTCTACTGCGAATGTCACCAACACAAACTTCGGGCCTCATCACTCCATTGTATTGCACATCAGTGTTGAGGTGTCCATTGTCTATGTTCTTTAGCCCATCTAAGCCGATTTTTCTTTTGAGTGGAGTTAATAGTGGCTTTTCTTCAGCCTATAAACAAGCTGTGCAACTTTAGGGTTTTTACTTCACTTTTTTTTATAAGAAAACTTACCTTGCAAGTGCTAAATCCCACTTTGTGGACCTCTCTATGAGTTGTGGACCTCGAAATTCTCCGTCCAATAGCGTCACTCCACAGAGCACTTAATTGTAAATAATTGGCACGCCTGTTTTTCACGATTATTCTTCTTAATGCTCTTCGGTCGGCATTTGTGTTATTACTTTTTTTCACATATCGTGGCTTAATATTAACTGAACCAGTTACGTTATATCTTCTAACGATATTTCTCACACTGTACAGCGATAAGTCTAACAAAGTTGCAATTTCTGAGTTTGATTTCCACAATTAAAAAATTTAATTATCAGTAACCGAATTTTCTCACTAATAACCTTTCCTCTACCCATTTTGAAAACCTTAACTACCCAAGACTATTTTAAACGTATTCTGACAGCTGTGATTAATAAAAACAATTGTCATGGCTTTTATTTTTCACAGCCACCTATGCGTTATAGACTTATTTTGCATTGAAATGAAAATAGGATGATATGCTGTAATTGCAACATATGTTATTTTTATGCTGCAAATTTGATTAGGGAGCGATAAAGTTGATGTTTTCTACTATATATTATCAAAATATTCATTGTTAATATTTTAAACCTATAACACCATGCTACATTTTTATTATTTGTGTTTGATAAGAAAAAACTAAGATTTCAATAGTTGGGCCAACTGAAGTGGGAAGGGGCTCGTACCATGTCACTATTTCGGAGTGAAGCTTGAACGTTTATCTATTATTTTTTGGACGAATACCCTGTTCTATGATCCGCCCTTGGCAAGACGCGGGCTTCCACAGCAGCTTTCGCGTTTCGATTGTTTGACTGGCATCCGAGCACAGGCGACTGCGATTGCTATGGCGACCGGGGATATTATTGCGTTTCTACCATCCCATCCCTTTATTTCTCCCTTTCTTTTCTTTTTTTTTTGTTCGACAACAACTGTCTTTGTGTGATCCTCGGAAATGCAGTATAAGGATGAGAGGATGATGACGATTTACGTATTGTTCTCTGCATCTAACTCTACTGCATGAGGACTCCTCGCTGATACTACAGAAAGATCTACAGACAGGAGTTGTGAACATAAAAAGGGTTTTCGGGGTGATTAGCTGTAAATAGGGCGATCAGGTATAGACAGACTTCTGAAAAGAGGTGACTATCGTTTGTGTTTGTTTTCACAAAGCATTGGATCTGAATAGGATTAGATAGTGAAGAATGAAGATCAATTTAATAATAAGTTCCCTGTAACTTTAAATAAACTAATACCTGTAGATTGTGGGTGCTTTTACATAGTAGAAATCTAATACCCAATAGTAACATTGATTGTACAAGTTTCACAATGATTTATAAACTTGAGCTAGATGGGTTTTCTAAGTCCGTGACTATAGCCGAACTATTATTTCGAAAATCTTGATGGATCCCTCTCCGGCAGCTCTGTAAATTGATTTTAGTATCTATGTGTTATTTTCAAGGTCTGTCAAACGCCGTGGTAGTACTTTTGGACTTAGTTACCTTTCAAACACTTAAAGAAATTTGACACTATCTCGTATGTTGAAAACCTCGAGGTATTATATTTTCACTAGCGAGACGTTCTCATTGAACATATGAAGATAAAGATGTATGTATAGCGATGAGTTAGTAACAAAATACGCACTATTTATGAAATTCAGCAGCCGAGTTTTCGAAGAAGTTCATATTTTGTACCGGTATGAATTTTAAAGGAATAACAAATCAAAAAGTAGAATGAAAGGCGCACGGAAACAGAAAAAACGTGTGTAGGATTCAGTTCCTATGGGTCTTCATCTTCCTCTAGTTGGTCCTTGAGATAGAAAGCTTTATATTCGGCTTGGTTACTGCAATGGCAGCAACTTGAGAGCATCTAACGATCTAACCCCTTAAATTCAATTTGTTGAAATAAGACCAAGATCATTATTATTGGATTCATTATTATTTTTTTTCTATTACAGATTATGTGACATTGGTATAAGTCGTGCCAGCATTTTGGGTAAGTCGAATTTATAATTATTAATGGTGAATGTATGGTTTTTAGTCAGTTTCTGAATTAGGCTCTGAACTTCAGTGTAGGTTCGATTTTGGAGAGATCGTCTATGGAGAGTAAAATTGTCTAAACTGTACCATTTGGCATATTTTATGAAATAATTCATTAATGACTTATTCAAACTGATGATAATAAATTATTTTCTATGTTTCTATCAAAATGCCCAACAAGAAACTCAGATACTGAGAGTTTACAATAAAGAAGTAATAAATCGTTGGAAACGGTACAACCTATCGAACCGGTTTGTTAAGTTGTACCACGCAGTTTGTAAGTTGTACCTACCAAAAAGCATTAGTTTTTCTTTGTTAGCTCAACAGATATGTGAAACAAAATATCGTGGTAGATCGAATGTGTTATTTAGCCAACTTCCACACATAGATCATAAATCAGCAATGTTGGTGAGACAAAATGTAAGTTAATTACAAGCTCGACAAGTGTAGGAAGAGATATGAGGATTTGCTGGGATTGCACACACGAGAGATGGAGAACGCATTCGGAGCAAAAGAGATGGCACGACCAATACGTGCCTTCGATCTCGACTGGTACAGTCTGCTTCCTAAATTAATCGAATAATTTCAATAATGGAATACGTATTACGTGAAGCCTGCTTTTTTTAATCGAAATTGTTGGTATGTGTCAAATTTTTAAATATCTTTTTGTGAGCCCAATATTACAAAGTTGGTAACTTAATTAACGTTACAAGACTAAGTTCTATCATTGTCATCGTTAGATCATCAATTCCACGAGCACCCGATCTTAATCTATCTATTGCCTGTAGTATTTCATTTGGTTCGATAACTCTTAGAGAAAATTTGTTCAATGGATTGGGTTTTTGTGCATTATAAAATTGAGTTTGAGAGTATATAATATACAATTAACGAATGTATATCATTAGGATATCTTAAAATACACTTGTATGTCCACCAGCAGGATTTAAAAATTTATATCTAAAAAAAAAACAAGTTTTATATACTGCTTTTTCAATATTTTTAAAATTATATAATTCATTAGTTTTACAAAAATAGTTTTATGTTTCCACACCTGTTAGCTACCTAAGAAAGGTTAAAAATCGGATTTATGTGATTATTTAGATAAATGAGATCAACATAGAAATAAGGAAACCAAAACAATGTATTCCATAAAATAAGTATTGCACGCTATGTAGCTATAAGACTGAGATTGATTTGACTCATTCTATTTTTTATTGTGAATAATTTCAATTAATAAACAATCAAATGAAAAGTAAGGTCAGAAAACTAACATCGTAGTAGATACAGTTGGCAATATTTTAAAGATTTATGAAGTTTCACAAAGGATCAAATCCTGAAAGTTCGGAAACGGAATCTGAGCTACTACTTAAACTTAAATCGTCGGTTTCGCTATCGCTATCTTCGTCTAGGTTTATTATTATTTGATCTACAATTAAGTCGAGTGATGGCTCCATTTCCATATATTGCTTATCAAAACCTTTGGCATGCTCACATCGCTTTTTTCATTCTTCTGTGGGATAAGACGAGAAAAAAGTCGTCGCAAAGTTTGTCGACGGTCTTGAAATTAAAATATACATTTCTCTCATCGATATATTGTTTCAAATATGCCCATACCAACTCGATTGGGTTCAAGTCTAGGTGATATGATGGCAATCTCAAAACAGAATGACCTTTTTCAGCCATTATTCTGTCTATTTCATATGTTATATAAGGCTGTACAAATCAATTTTCAACATGTTGTCAGTGAAATAATAATAATAATAATAATAATAATAATAATAGCTTGATTGTTCAACAGTTTCCCATTTATAGGACAAACAACAAATGCAACACAGGTATACATTTGTAACATGAGCTATTGGTCCGAATAAGCCTTAGCTGCCTTTAGCAGGTAATTAACATTTGTCGTAAATATATCACAGTAACATCCAATTCTGTTTAACTTAGAGCACATTACATATAACGGTGACTTGAGAAGAATGTTTGTCCTAGCTCGAGGAGGCCCGAATATTTTATGATTACGAGATGCAAACGTTGGAGTACGAAACTTGATCTGTTCCAGGATTATGGGGCAATCAATTAAATTGTTGATCATTTTGTAGCCAAATATTATTGAGGCACAGTACCTACGTTTTTTCAAAGTCAACATGTCTAAGTGAGTACATAGTTCCTCATTACTTGTACCTCTCTCTGGATATGTCCCATCAATCCTAAACAGAACATACTTCATAAACTTCCGTTGTAAATACTCTTTCAATAGCTGTTCTATAGCATTCATAGTAAGGGCTCCAAATAATACTACAATATTCGACTTTGGATCTAACATAAGCATAATATAATAACATAATAGACTTTATGTTATGAAAATTCCTGCAATTCCTTACTATGAAACCATAAGCCGCCAATGCTTCTGATGCTTTTTTATTTATATGCTGACTAAAAGTTAACTTTTGATCATAGATTATACCTAAATCACGTACATCAGAGCATCTTTCTAGCACAGACCCATCAATAGAGTACGGATATTCGCAAACATTAATTTTCCTGGTATAGCTGACTATTTTACACTTCCTCACATTAAGCTCCAACTTGTTTTCTACACACCAAGACAGCACAAAATTTAATTGGTGTTGTAGCTTGATACAATCATCAGGAGTATTTATCTGCGAATAAATTTTTAGGTCGTCAGCAAAGCATAGGCGTTCACATTCAACTGAGTCACAAAGGTCATTAATAAATATCAAAAACAGTAATGGTCCCAGGTTGGACCCCTGAGGAACTCCAGAAGGTGTCAAGTAGGTTTCAGATTGGAAGCCATTATAGCTAACAAATTGTCTACGATCGGATAAGTAAGATTTCATCAACTCCCTAGCATCATCTGTGAAACCAAGTGTACATAACTTATTTAATAAAGTTTTGTGGTTAATTTTATCGAAAGCCTTCGAAAAGTCGGTATAAATAACGTCAACTTGCTCCTTACTATCAATGGCTTCCGAGAGGTACTGCGTTATTATAAATAGATTTGTGGTTGTTGAGCGACAAATCCGTGTTGATGCAATGACAGCTGACGCTGGACGGCAGTGTAAATGCGACTGTACAAGACTATTTCAAAGACTTTCGAGAACATGCATAATATAGAGATTGCCCTGTAATTCTCAATATTTAACTTATCCCCACACTTAAACACTGGACAGACCTTAGCGATCTTCCAAATATCTGGACATCTTTTTGTTATAAGACAAATATTAAAAATCCTAGTTAGAACACCAACAAACACTTCCACACAATCTTTGACTATAAAGGACGGGATGCCATCTAGACCAGATGTCATCTTATCCTTTAGTGATTTAATGGCCTTCCTGACTTCATTTTGCTCAATTTGTTGAAAATGGACAAATAAATTACTATGATTTAGTGACGCATTATTATGGGGCTTGTGAGTGACAGACGCTGCTGAAAAACTCACTGAATGCGTTTACTATATCCTGAGGCTGATCTATAGAATTATTTTGAAATTTCATTATCCCTGGGATTCGTGACGTGTTGTTTTTGGAGTGAACGTATGACCAAAAAGCATTGGGGTTAATTGTTAAAGAATTCTGGATATTTTCAATATATTGATCATTCGTCGATTTAATCTGGTTTTTTATCAAGCGGCGCAAACGTTTGAATTCTTGTAGATCATCAACAAAAGCAGACCTGTTGATTTTTTACCTAAATTTAGCTTTAAGTTTAATGTTCTTAATAATAGCTGAGTGAAATGTATGTTTCTTGCCTTAGCCATTTTTTCATATGATCCTTCTTAGAGCACGTAGTATGACATTTGTCTATCTGAACATAGTGGTACGGAGCGTTGTTTTTTATAGTTACTATAGTTCATCTCAATATGATAATCACCCGACTTACTGTTGGATTTAAATTTCAGATATGCATTTTCCACGAAACCATTTTCACTACCAGCGTGCAGAATAATAAATCTTTGTCCTTTTGAAACTGGCCTGTGAAGGCCCTCATTGGTATTATCGCTCCAACTATTTTCATGCGTATGTGATGTATGAATGTATGTTCCGTCCATATAAATTATAGGACGATTTTTTCTCTATATTCTTTCATCCTTCTCAGAAAATTTCTCCTGAGATGCTGAACTCTGGTTTCTCCATAAGAAGTCTTCTATTAGTTCTTGCCTTCCTCCAACAAAATTCCATTGTCCTCATCACTCTCCTTAAAGTTTCATGTGATCCAGTGTAATTGTATTCTTGAACAAGTTTCCTGTGTAAATTACGGCACTGCTATGATGATGATCTAATATGTAGAGTTGCTTAGGTTTGCACTTTTCAATTCCTTTGTTCTAGCGTAGGTTATAAGTAAGAGATGCATGTAAACCAAGGTGACCAGTACTCATTCGTCTTCTGTTAAATAAAGTCGCTTTTTTAAAAAGTCGTTCGTTGTTTGCACATTCTTAATTGGCGCTGCGAACAGGATATCGGCGTACCGAATCGATAATCGGCGGTATTGATTCACGAGTATCGCTCAATCGAGACCGAAAAAGTGCAAAAAATCGTCCGGTGTGTTCGGGTACGATTTCAATCGTTTTGACGTCGATCACAAAGAACTTCGAAGGCTACACCGAGCAGGCACATCACCATCGAAGTACCAGGCCGAAATACTTGCTAAGTATTTTGGGAGCAGGCAACGACACTTGAGAAAACGACAGGAACTGACAGGAGCGAGGTGCTGGATCCACGGCAGGCAAGCTGTCAACCAGGAGGAGCTGTATTGGCCCAAGGAGGTATCTCAGATCTCTCCAAATGAAGCTGCTAGTGCCCAGTGTAGCGTAAGAAACAACATTTACAATTTTTGCTGTACTCAGTGATTTTTCCATTTATTTCTCGAAACTTTTTCGCCCTCTATTGCTTTACATTTATATATACTCGTAAAAGTTATCTATAAGTAAACTTATTTAGTGACTTTAATTGCACATATTTAATGTCCGATTCTGAATTTGAATCTGTAGTCGAAAATACACCTGTTAGACAAGTTATTTTGACACCCTCACGTCTTAATTTTAATCAGTCAACCATGTCTCT